CAGGATTCCAGACATCACTGCAGAGCACCACACCTAGCACGGACCTTCATGTGAAGGGTCTGGTTACCCAGTCTGTACAATGGGTTTGAAGGGTCTGAGCCTTCAAACCACCCCCACCCCCAGCACTGGGGATCAGAGCCATTTGTCCTTTATATTCAAGTCCAATAACCCAGGAATACCTGGATGTCCATGTGCATCTATGTCAGCAATAGCCAAGGAACACCTGGGTGCACATGCACAGTTAACATTTACATCTAACAGGCTAGGTCATGCTTGGCAAGATTCTGAACATCTGAGGGATTCTGACCATTTACCCATTTCATTTTCCCTACAAACTTCCATGCCCTCTCTTGGCATGCCACCTTCAGGAACCTCTCCAAACCCAGTCCTTTTGGATTTTTAGGGAAATGTCACCACACAGGCATGACTGATTACATCATTGGCTGTTGGTGATCAACTTAACCTTTAGGCCCTCTCCCCTGCCAGGAGGTTGGGGGATGGGTCTGAAAGTCCCACCCTTCTAATCAGGCCTTGGTTTTTCCCCATTCTAAAGCTATCTAGAGACCACCAGTCATCTCATTAGTATACAAAAGATATTCATCATTCTGGAGATTCCCAAGATTTTATGAGCTGTATGTCAGGAAACAGGATAAAGACCAAGAATGTATTTCACAATATCACAAAGCCAAGTAAAAACTGACAACTGCAAAGAAATAGTTTCAAAAAAATTGTAAGCAGCTGAAGGCAAGGCCAATTTTGGAAGGAAGGTAAAAGTTTCTAGGGTCAGAGAAGTCAAGATACAGAAAGACTAAGAAGGACAGACAACTCAAGTCAAAAGCCATTACTGCCAACAAAAGACTCATGTCGGTGTTCAGAGAACCTCTAAATCCAGTCAATAGGAACAAGAGTTAAGTTTAAGTACACCAAATCTCCCAGTTTGACTCCTTTTGATCAGAATTGTGATACTAATTTTCTGTGTTATTTGGGAGATGATTCATCAGACATTAGGGTAGTTTGGGAGCCCAGCTGAGTTGCTAATATTAAGCAATTATATTTTCAGAGCTGTGTAGACATTACACATCCTTATCCTTCATAGGAAACAACTGAAGTTCCTGCCTAAATGGCACTCAGGAATTTACCCTCCCAGATTTTAACAGCAAAACCGTGGACGCTTGAAGGGCTATAGCGCTTGGCATAATTATTACTTCTTCCTGAGACGGATTAAGTTTATCTTGTTACATGAAAACAGCGTGGGTTGGAGAGTAGAAGCTGCTCTCCTTTCTTTTTTTTTTTGAAGGAACTCCACGTAGAGTTTATTTCCCTTTTAGTTCTTTCTTAAACAATATTTTACTGGAGAGTTCATCCTTTTAAATTTTACATGCTTCTTGCAAAAGCAAGTCAAAATAGCATAAGGACTTTGGCTTTCTTTGAAAGTAATCTGGCATGAAATTTTATTTTTATGCTAATGATGATTTTATATAATGCTAATATTTTAATACAGTTTTTGAATGAAAACATAACAATAAAAAGTTTTTAAGGAAAGAAAACCATTTATATGCCTATTATCCTATTAGGGTAACTTTTTATTTCTGCACATTTCCTTCTGCCTATGTGCCACAAAACTTTAGGGCTGAAAGACACTTTGAAAGCAAATGGTTCAATTTCTTCATTTTCAGGTGATTAAACTAAGACCCAGAGAGCTATGAGGTTAGCCTAGGGCCACACGTTATTGCTTCCTCTAAAAGAAATTTTAATGCTAAATTAATAAAAAATATTGTTGATGAGACATAAAAACTCCCTAATAGCAGATTTTCTCAGAGAATGCAACTGCAAGTGAAAAAAAAATCTCTTTTATGTAATACAGTGTTAGCATTATCAAAGACAATGTTTGAAGAAGTATAGCTGCAAAATATGAATTCCCTAATAAAAATTCCCAAAAGTCCAGGAATTTCTAGAAAACAGATGTGAATTCAAAGCCTCTGGATTTAAAGATTTGGATTCAAAGTTCACATATTTGCTATGCATTGCTACTAATAATGCTGTCTGCAAATTGTTGATTCCAAAATGCACACTCCTCAATAAAATGGCAAATTACAGGTCTTAAAGAGAGCACTTAATTAAGGCTTTCTCTCTGCTATAATTGAAAGAACTGAAATAGCACAGAAAAAGGGAGTACTTCATAGGTAATGTGGATAGCTTTCAAAACAACTGTTAGAAAGTCTAGACTCACATTAGTGGGATTCTTAACGTGCCATAGCTGAAAAAGGCCCAAAATGGGAATAGAAAACTCCAGTTCTGATGCCAGTCTGCCCCTAACCAGGAATGTGATCTGAGACAAAACATTTAATTTTTCTAGTTTTGTTTCTATGTTGATAAAATGAGGTTAGCCTAGGTGACCTCAGAATTCTTTCGCAACTGTAAAATTTGGATTCTTTCCTGCATGTGGAAGGTATTCTGTATTTCAGTCTCTGGGAAAACCCCAGGTGTGAAGAGTTGGCTTTAATAACACGATCCTTTTGTTCTCTTCTAAGGTAAGCCCCTGCAGAAATCTGGCCCTTCTTTGGCCCCCCCTTCCCTCCTTCTTCTCCTGCCTTCATGCAGATCTGTAATAAAACCCCATTGTCTTTTCACTTATGTTTCATCTCTCTTCCTTCTCCATCCACACTACCAACTCTTTAGTACTAGTCCTTGTATCTGAACCACAGGAACAAGTAACTGCTTTTCTAATTTCCCTTCAGAGTACAATCTACTTCTACTGAGCTCCATTCTGTTCATTAAGATTAACATATCCATGGGAGTGATCCTTGATTGCTCTCTTTCTCTTGGACTCCATATTCAATCTGTTAGCAAATTCTGTTGGCTCCCTCTCTAAAATATGTCCAAAATATGACCACTTACTTCCACTGCTATTACCTGGCTCCAAGCCAGCAATAGCTTCTGACTGAAGCCCTTATCCCCATTCAGACTACTATCGACAGTGTCCAAAGTGATCCTATGAAAACGGTAAGTCAGGTCATGGCAGTGCATTGCTCAGACTGACTTTCCTTACAATGACCTACAAAGTGTTAGGTACCCTAGCCATTTTTCTCTCTCTAGCTTTATTTCCCACTCCTCTCCCCATCTACTCCAGTACATAAATCCTCTTAACAGTTTCTCAAATCTGCCAGGAACATGGCCACTTGCTGTGACTTTGCACTTGTCTTTCTGTCTGGAATATCCTTTCTAAAATTTTAAGACCTCTCTTTTATTTTTCACCCCAGCGCTTATTACTATCTAACATTGTATATTCTGCTTATTTCTTTGCTGTCTCTCTTTCCCATAACAGTAGGGATTTTTGTCTGTTTTGTTTATTGCTATATCCCAAACACCTAGAACAGTGCCTAGCATAGTGGGTGCTCAGTAAATATTTGTTGGTTATTGAATGAACTGTGGGAGATCTGTATCAAGGGAGCATAAGATCATGCAGAGATAGAGACAGACACACATAAAGTGTCTTGTTAGCTCACGGCAAAACAAAATTTGCCCACCTTCCTAATCTTGAGTAGTAAAAAATTCCATGCCTTTTGTTAATTGTGACATATGTTTTAGATATCTTGTGAGATGTTTTAGATCTCAAGGAAAGCATTCCCCATTATTAAAACTTTAATTTGTCACTAGAAGATGAACCCATCCTATTTTCCAAATGTTATCGTGTCCATTAGGCAGTCCTCCTAAGTTACATAGAACAAAGTACGGTCTACTCTTTTAGGTTGAAAATTCCAGGTCCTGACCTTTAGTGCTCAGAGTCCTCAAAATTCTCAGATTGTGTCATATGAACTCCAAAAATATGTAGCTATTAAATATACTACTACTACTGATGATGAAGTGAAATAATTATTATTGCTAACATCAAATTTATCCTAAGAGGAGTAGAAAGTCCATTTTGTTTTTTCCCTTTATCTGAAAGATGCACTCCCTGGCCCACAGGAGATCAATTTATTAGTCTGTTTAATTAGTACTGAAGGGTGCGGCACTAGCTTGGGGGTCGTGATCCTCCAACTCTACGCATTCCGCGTTATTAGAGACCTGCATTTACCAGCCAGGAAGGATGTCCTCACTCAACGATGACGATGTGAACATGTATGGGGGCGTCTCCGACTCCCAAAACGTCCCGAGAAAAGAATGTGGTCAGAGGAGGCTGCAAGTCGTGAGCACACGACGGCCTCCCGCGTTCAGTCGGGCGGATTTCTTCCCTCGTCCCCTCGGTCCGCGGGACCTGCCTCCGGCTGAGGATGAGCGAAGACGCCGCGGCTCTTCGGAGGAGACGGCGGGGCCGGCCCGTTAGCTGAGAGCGCCGGCGCGGGAGTCCCGCAGCCGGAGCCGCGCCCCGGAGCTGGGTGGGGGAGGGGCGGCGGCTCGCGCTGCGTCGAGTTTCCCAGAATCCCCAGCGGCCGCGGGGAAAGTTTACGGGACGCAGGCGGCGGTGGTAGCGGTTCCTAGGTTGCCGGCGGCGGACCATGGCCTTGGCCCGGCGTCCCCGGCCTCTCCTCAAGGCGTCCCCAGCAGCGTCGTGGAGCGGGCAGACTTCCGGGAAGGAACTGACATGCCACTGAGCAGCGGCCGGCGCGCTTGGCGCCCCGAACATGCGGCAGT